ATTAATTCATCTTTTGAAAGCAACATGATTTTAGAGGGATATGGTACTGTGGGGAAATGCTGCCTGGATTTTGATTCATATTTGTCAGGGGAACTAAGAGACACATAAAACTGTTCCATGGGCAACTTTTGGCCCATCGGCTCCCTGTGGCTTTTTCCTGATATGGAGCAAGTGCATGAGAGTGATAATATGAATGATGGGGGTAGACGTGAGTATATAAAAGTACTCACTCAGATAGATTGAGACTCTGTTTCAGTGCTTGAACTGCTGAGGTGGATTGATGAAGGAAGCCACAGCCTCGAGTTTACAAGAGCTAAGCAGGGCTGTTGAGGGCAAGACACTTTGGTGGGTCCACATACGTTAGAGGTGGTATGATGGCACATCAGAGTTCAAAACAGTTCAGGTTGTGCCTTGCCTTTGCACAGCCTCTTGTAGGAATTTCCAAGCTTTGAGGTCCCACAAATCTTGCAGAAGAAGAGCTGTGTGCAGCCCGGGTATCAACATACTCCTGTACCCATGAAATGTTATCTTATTAAAAGTTATGCTTTGCTGGGTTTTTGCACTTCTTTTTTAAATCCTGACTTCATATCCCTTATTCTCTGTGGTAGTGTAACGGCAACTATTAACACAGTTAAACAATGACTCACTTTATATAGCCTTTTTAACAATGATTTCCCTGCTGTCTCTTTTGTGGCCCACCAGAAGTAATTTCATCTCCATGCAAGCAGCCGTGCAGAACTTCTCCCACCCGTCGTCTTTTTATAATGATTCTGCACTCCCCTTTCTGCATTATTTTTCTCATGGCTTATGCAAAGGGAGCACCGATATGAATGCGAGTACCTGCTTAGATATCTGGGCATTTTTGAAAATGGCTCCACGTAGTCCCTCGTCACAAACATTGGCTCCAGCGTCATGCTTACACTGCAGCATGGTATTCTCGGCTTCATACGCAACTCTCACGCGTCTGGGGGAAGGGCTGGCTGTGAAGACATGCAATTCCCCAGCCCCTTCCCGTAGTCACAAAGAAAGATTGTAAGGGAATCAAATCATCCAGCATCACACTACCACCACCACAATTTTTTATTATTGCCTGCGATCCCTGGTGATGCACTATGGCAAGCTGGAAATTTGATCTTTATTGACTTTGCCACCTCTGAGAATAAAGAAAATGGGTAGGGACAAAAATAGTAATTGGAAATAGCTCCACTGGAGGAAAGCTGTCATGAGACAGATTGATTTGGCAGTGGCAGAAGTAGCATTATTGATTGTGAGTTCCTTAGCGAATTAAAAAGAGGACCAGAAACCTTAATGTGTTGCCTTCTTTCCTTTGTATGTGTGGGTGTGAGACAAAGAGCTGCAATTTAGAATGCTCTCCTAGGATAAAGACTTAAAAGAGGCATAGCAGTGTTATTTGCCTCCTTCAGCAAGTGGCCTCCGGAGTGGGTGAGAACAGAGTTCTTCAAAATCTTGGCAGGATTAATGTATTATGATAGTTACCATTGTTGTTGTGCTACAAAGAGCAATAGAATGTACTTTTTTTAAAAGAGGAATCTTTATGATATTATTGGAAACTAGAGATTCTCTGCCAGTTGGTGTCAACAGTACTGAGTTAGAGAGTCCAGTGTTCTGACAGTTTTATGGCAGCTCCTCCTGCTCCTGTTTGAGGACGGGGGAGTGGAGGAGACATCATACATACACATTGCAAGTGTAATAGTGCAGGGCAGACTTTCAGAATCTCATTCCTGGATTGTGCCCTGGATTATGGAATTTTTTTTAAGGCTACTAACAGAAAGATGAGAAAACATTGTTCTATTTAGCTTGTGTTCTATGAAGTTATGCTCAGTGCACAAGCCATGTTTGGCTAAGAATGGGCTGAATCAGTTAGATTTGTGTTCTTCCATATTTGATAATTTTAAAACTCAAATGATTTGTCTCTCCAACGTTGAATGTTTGAACTTTGGCAAATTCTTCTTAAAAATGAATGGAAACCTAATTTGATAGGCAACAACTCTGCCAAAGGCACAACTCTCCCCAGACAGAGAGGACCATGAAGTCTCTGCCTGCTGTGTTTAAGATTAGGAGCCAGTTATGGAAAAAAATAGGGGAGACAGCTGTATCTAAGCAACAACATAGCTTAATGTACAGATGTCTCAATTTTTCTTGACCTGGAATATGAACTGTGGTGGGTTTGGGTCAATTCTTATCAAAAAAGTGAAACAAAATTGTTACCCAACTCTACTGGGGTGATATAAGCCTCTTGTTTTCCTCCTCGCCTGAGATTTTAGCAAGGCCCTGGCAGGCCACAATGCATGGGAAATAGGCAGTGTTAGCCATGGTGGGACACATGTCGTCCAAGTGACATGCTGGTTGCTTTGCACAGTTCTGGTTTTTGAGCTAACCAGGTGATGCATGCTTTTTCATATTTGGACCTCCAAATGTTGGCATGAGGTGGTACCAAGCATGCAACAAGACCTCCTTCAAATCAACCTTCCCCTGACCTGAAGTCCTCCAGAAGTGCTAGAATATGCCTCCCATAATGACCCGCCAACATGGCCAGTAGCCTGTAGGGTACCTGAACTGAGGAGGATTACATGGAAGAGTTTGGGGTTGTCCCCGGCTCATATGGAATGCCAGTATGTTTGGTGCTTTGTTATCAAGGCTGATAAGTGGTTTAAGATTTGCAGAGGCAGCACTAGAAAGAACAGAAGGGGGCAGAGTACATTTTGTGAGTAACAAATATGTGAAAAGTCCCCTTCCTTCAAGAAACAGCAAGGTTCAAGCAGTGCTGGGTACTGTCCCCAGCCACTCTTTATCATGCTGTTTTACCAGCCAAAAGTATGGGATTTGAAGCTATGTCCTGCTTTTTCTGGCATTTGCCAAGGACTGCCATCTGTCAATACGTTGCATAATTGATAGGCTGCAGTTAGCCCTAGTAAGGTTGCGCCTCTTTGTGGTAGCTTACCCCAGCTGCTGCTTTGAAGCCAGCTTGTAGCTAACCAAGGATAAACACAGCATCATTTTTGGCAGGGGTCCTCAAACCTTTTCAGCAGGGGGCCAGTTGAAAGGTACCGGTGCTGGGCGCTGGCCGGAAAGGTGGTACCGGCGGTGCGCGCGGGCGGGTGCACGGGGTGAAAGGAGGCAAGGTGAGGCGGGGTGGGCACACGCCACGAAGCGGGCGCATGAGGCAGCGGCTTGCTTGCTTGGAGGTTGTTTTCTCTGAGCGAGCAAACCGCTGCCTCCCTGTGCATGGGGCGAGGTGGGTGGTGGTGGGTGTGCACATAGGCGCGGGGGGGTCCAAAGGGGCATGGCAGGCAAGATAAATGGGCATGATGGGCCAGATCCGGCCCCCTGAGGACCCATGATTTTTGGCATGTCACTGAAGGAATAACATTGTGTTAGCATCTGCCATTCTTAGTTACATAGTCGCAGGCCTGACTCTCTTCACCATCCCTTGAAATCCTCAAGAGGCACTTGGTTCAGAATCTGAATGCAGTGTCTAAGGCTCCATTCTTACATACTGCTAGCAACAAGGAAACTATTTCTCAATGCGTGTATATCAAACACAATGACAAATTGAGTCTGTCATACTTTGGGCACATCATGAGAATGAAAAAGGCCTAGAAGAAGACCATCATGCTAGGGAAAGTTGAAAGCTCAAGATGGAAAGGGAGACCAAATGAGAGATGGATTGACCCCTTGTAGGAGCCACAGCTTGGAATTTACAAAGCTAAGCAAGGCTGCCATGGATAGGAAGATTTTCATTCATAGGATTGCTGTAAGTCAGGCAACATAGCCGAGCATGTGCCTTCCATACAGAATGTTCCAATTATAATCCCTGACATCATATATATGACCATACATATTGGACTTGGTCACCGTGATGGATGACCTTTTTGGGGAAAGGGAGTGGGAAAAGTTTGGCTCTGTTACTTTTCAATCCCTTGGTGGTTTTTGATACTGTTGAATATAGTATATCCATGGATCATCTCTGTGAGTTGGGAATTGGCATTGTTACAGGTAATTATGCTCTTACATAGAAAAAGTTCCAGAGAATTATATTGGGTTTGTTGTTGTGCCTTGACATCCCACCCCGGGAGTTGTACTGTCATTTACCACTTTGTTCCCCATGTTTTTAACATCTGCATGAAGTAGTCATAGAGATTTACTGCAGTGATATTTGTTGGCAACGCATGTTCTGAAGTGGTGCTTGAATTCCGTTATAGGCTATGGACACCATAACAGTGACACCACAAGCTGTTTCTCTTCTCTACCCAAAGTATTTTTGACATGGACTTCCTTCCTGTGCCTGTCAATGGAAACTTTCCCCTGCTCCTCCAAGCTATTCTGAAGAAAAAAAAAGATTTTTCTCCCTGAATGGCAACTGGGTGGAATGAGTCAGAAGCACCACCTAAGATCGTAAAAGACATTGACATTGTATTTAGGATCTGAGGATACTGAGCAGGGGCACTGTTGGGCTGTGCTGCTAGGTGGGGCATCTCCTGAATTTGAGGGATAATATAAGAAGAGCCCTGCTCAACCAAAGGTCTTTCTCAGTCTACCATTTTGCTTCCTCAGTAGCCAACCAGATGCCTATGCAGAGTCCAGAAGGAGGCCGTGAATGCAGTGTCACCCTCTACCTCGTGGTCTCCTAGGTATTCAAAGGCATACCGCATCCGGTATGGGAGATAATATCCAGCCAAACATGACTAGTAGCCAATTGAGAGCCTTACTTGAATCGCCTTGTAAAACTGTCTAAAGAGTTGGGAAGATCATACGACCAGGAATGTGTGTGCACTATGTTTATCCATATCATTTATATCTACATCTACCTATCTATGTGTGTATATCTTACACAAACACAGACACATCTGTGTCGGGGGCATACTTCCCTGTGCATGCAGACAAACATAATCCAAATGCAGCCAGATTATGCATCTCTTGATTACTTTATTGTTAATTGCAAGAAATAATAGAGGATTCCATCTTCTTTATTTTTGCAGATAGTTATGGATTTTAAACATCCTGATGGGCACGCGGTAGCAGTTGTGCTTCCACAGTGTAGTTTACTAGTAATGTCTGGAGAAGCCAGGTATCTTTGGACCCATGGGTAAGTGTTGGCATTCATGAGTTAATTATATTGCATAATATAGTCCACATTCTGACAGAGTAGGCGAAGAGGGCAGGAAAGATGGAGGAAACGGGCTGAAGGGCAAATGCATTTGTCCAGAAAAAGTTTTTGCAAAAATGAGGACTAAAGGATAAAAGTTGAAAGGTGTCATCATGTGTTCTCCAGAAGAGGTATGGCAGCCCCGCTTCTCCCCTGAGAGGAGCGTTCTCCTCATGAGCTGTTGTTGATCATGTGGAGATTTCGGTTTGCATTCAAGCAAATGAATAGAACTCCCTTTTAACCATGGCTTTTGATACAGCAAGGCCAGGGACATGGAAGGGCGAGGTGCATGAGGGAGAATTGGATGGGGCTAGTATGTGTGGCACCATGCCTGTTTCCAGATTTAGCCCTTGTGTTCTGCAGAACCTCTAAAGAGGGCGCTTGTCTTCATAGAAAAGGAGGGCTTGGAGGAAGAGAAAGTGGTAATGGCACACAGGTATTCTGGGAAGAAGTTTCAGTGATGATTTATGAAAATGTTATCCCACGATTCCTCCAAGGAGCTAAACATGGTGTGCATTTTATCTTCACAGCAAGCCTTATGAAATTGCTTATTCTGAGAAATAGTAACTGGACCAAGGTCACCACTCAGTGCGTTTAATGCCTGAGCAGGGATTTGAACCTAGGCTTGATCAAGGTCTAACACTAATCACCCCACAACAACAGATTTCAATGGTAATAAAGAAAAAGAGTAGAGTTGGAGATCTTTCTGGGAGAAGGAGACTTGAAGGTGTCAGAGCTAGCACAGGGGTGAGCAACTTGCATTCCTCCAGATGTTCTGGCCTACGACTGCAGTCGTTTCTCCTCACTAGATAAGCTGGCTAGGGTTGAGTGGAGTTGTAGGCTTAAACATCCACAGTATGCACCCCTGAGATTAACATCACAGAAAGGGATAAATTTATGAGATGGGCCGCAATTGCTCTTGCAGACATAAAGATATGCATGAAGGTTTTTCATCCACCTGAATTAACTTTACCAATTTAGATAGGCTTTAGAAAACAAATTAGATACTTCACATAATGCAGAGACAGTGAGGCCTTTTGTGTGAGTGTGTATTTGTGTGTTCTAACTTTGCATACAGAAAAATAAGATTGTTTGCCTTCCTGTAGTTCATTCTGGCAGGGATAAACTCGGATCGTCAGCACAGATGTCTGTAATGGTCAGAATGCTTGTCTTGCTGGGAGCCTAGTGCTGCTGACTTTGAAGTCAGCAATTCTGTATGGGCTACACCACTGGAGAGCCAAATTCTTTTTCCAGAGGCAAATTTTGCTTTAATGTAGCCATTTGACTATCAAATTGAGGAAAAGACTGGGTACAAGATAAAACTGGAGTTTTGCAAGATTTCTCTCAGGAAGCTCACCCAGTCTGTATTGCCGCCTGCTCCTGCAACAAAAAATAGATGCTACTGGGAGTAGCTTTTCACTGCTTCCCTACTATTTTCTTTTGATTGCCTTCTCATGATTTTGCAGAATCCTTGCATTTTGGCCTTTCGGACTATATGTATTTTATTTATTCATTGGATTTCTATCTCACCCCATTAGCCATAAGGCTCCCTGGGGGGTTACAAAGGCAAAAAATGCAATAAAGATATAGTGAATCACAGTAGTCTTCCCCCTATCCCAGTACTGTCAATCCTGACAGTGTCTCTTCCAGGATTTCAGGCAGGAGGCTTTTTATCATCCTACTGAAAGATCATATATGTGATGTCAGGGATTATACTTGGGATATTCTGTATGGAAGGCACATGCTCTTTCACTGAGCTGTGGCCCTTCTCATGTGCCAAGAGATCTGTTTTGGCTGAAGCTGTATACCGTTCTTATTTCAGGAGCTCTTGTTCTGAGTGCCAGTTTACGCATTATACTTTTGATAATGATGGGTTACAGAACTGCTAATTTATATTCTGTAATTACCAAAAATCAACATTTGAAGCACTAATTGACAGAATGTTTTTTACCTCAAACTCAGTATCTGAGATAAAAAATACTGATACAGTATCGGTATCTCAGAATCAAGCTGAGACCAACCATTGGTTTGTCTTGCTCATTCTGGTTACTTGGAGTAGCTGCAGCTTTTGAGGCTTTGTTTCTTTCATGTTGTAAAAGAATTGTGTGCCAAAGTGGCCAACAAGTCATAAAGCCAAAATCAAAGCAGTCACAGAGTAAAGGCGAGCATTAAGTTGTAGACAAATCAAACCACCAGAAATGCTGCTTTCAGTGCTAAGAAAATGCAGGCTTCTCCCACACAGTGCATTTCTGCTCTGATGTAACCATGACCAGAAAGAAAAGTGCTTAACTTGGCCTCATTCATTGCACTTAAAAATATTTTTGCTAGTAGGAAACAATGAAAAGCCAAGGCTGATTAAAACAGTTCCAAGCATTCTACCCGTCAAACTGAAATAACAAATTAAAAACCAGACAGAATAATAAATTGGTGCAGCAGAGGGTTAACGTGCTGAACAGGGGTTCCGGAGATCCAGGTTCAAGTCCACACTTAGTCACTCAGTGCATTGGGTGATTCGGGTCAGCCACTGAATCTTAGCCAAAATTACCTCAAAGGGTTGTTGCATGGAGAGGAAGAGGACCAGGTAAGTTTTCTTTGCTTCCTTGCAAGGGGAAAAAGATGGAATATAAATGTAGTAAAGGAAGAAGGTACCATATTTTTCGCTCTGTAAGACGCACCTGACCATAAGATGCACCTAGGTTTTAGAGGAGGGATCCATGGAAAGCTTGCTGATAATCACAGGCACATTCCCCATCACTTCCCCATGGGCTTCATTAAAAAGACGGGTTGCCATTTGAAAACACACACCAATCTGTGATTAACAGCTCTCACCTGCGCTGGAGGAGGGGGGTGGAGCAGGGCGTGCTGAGCACATGCTGGCCAGGTGTGCAGCCGGGCTGGCAGTGTGCTGGCAGTAGTCTTCCAGGTGGTGCGGCGGCAGCGGCAGGTCTTCCTGGGCAGTGGGGATGAGCAGTCCGTCTCTCCGTGCGGCCAGCGGGTTAAAGCCCACAGTTCCTCCTCCTTCACACTGTTCCCCCTGAGCGGCACAGCTCTCACCTGCGCCGGGGGGGGGTGGTGGAGCAGCACGTGCCGAGCGTGTGCCGGCCAGGTGGTGCCACGTGGTGCAGCCGGGCCGGCAGCATCCCGGGCATCGGGCACACACACATTCGCTCTATAAGACGCACTGACATTTCCCCTTACTTTTGAGGGGGGGAAAGTGCATCTTATAGAGTGAAAACTACGGTAAATACCAAAAAATCCCAGGTAAACAAGACAGATTTTACTCGGTGCCCTAGAGGAAATAAAGCACCAGGCAGGTCTCACCTTCTAGGGAGTTCTGCAGACAGGATGCAACAACCTAGAAGGCCCTCTCTCTCTGCTGGTCAGCTGCCCAGCCTTCATAGATGAGCGCGCCTGCAGGAGCGCCTCTGGCAACAATCTTAGCTGCTTGCGAGCTTCTTTCCCAACCCTGTGCTTTCTGGTATTCGCTTAGGGATCTGAGGATGTGGTCTGCTCACAGATTCTTACCACTATCATCCTTGAAATTGTGGTGATTTATCTTGGAAAATGGGGCATGTGAGGAGCAGAATCCTGATCCCAGAAGCCTGTTGAGAACATGATTGTGCTTCCAAACAAGGCATAAACTCCTGGCTGTCCTGGTTTTGAGAGAATCATGAACTACCCAGGGCAATCTCAGGACTGGTCCTGGAGCATTTCAGGCGGTGGGGTTTCAACATTCATGCTGAGGTTGCTCAGTCAGGAGGGACTCAAGATTAAATGTCTGTTGTGTCCACTGTAGACCAGTCTCAGTTAGGATTTTGCCCTGGCCGTGCAGCAGGACACATTCTCAAGCTGGTATCCTGCCCTGGTGGAGTCAGTGCTCCGAAGGTGGAGCAGTTGCATCTGAAGCTGCCACCATGCACAGCACACTGTCTTTGTCAGCCTTCCCCAACCTTCTGGCTTCCAGACACATTTGGAGTGCAGCACCCAGAATTCCCAGTCAACGGCCCTGCTGGATGGGAATTCTGGGAGTTGCGCTCCAGGTGCCTCTGAAGGCCATTCGAATGGGGAAGCCTGGTCTAGTTAGTTTTGGACAGTCTGCCACTGTAGGCTTCTATAAGGGTAGAGAACCAGTTAGAATTTATTTTTATTTATTTATATTTATATTGCAATTTATATCCTGCCTTTTTCCTACAAAGGGCTCAAGGCAGCTTACATCATTCTCCTCCTCCATCTTATCCCCACAACAACAACCCTGTGAGGTAGGTTGGGCTGAGAGTCTGTGACTGACCCAAAGTCACCCAGTTGGCTCCATGGCTGAGCGGGGACTAGAACCCAGGTCGTCTGAGTCCCAGTCCCACGCTCTTAACCACTACACCACACCATGATCTGTCTTGGACACCTGTTAGAGCCAAATGTTTTCCAGAACTTTCCTGGTGATTTTCCTTCCTCATCTGTCACTGTTGAACCCCAGTGGAATATAGAAATGGCCTGAGACATTGATGATACTGTTCTAAGTCCCCCCTCCCTTGTGGTAAAGCTTGATCAGTATGAGAAGGATTATAGTTGTGTGCCAGACTCAAAAGACAGCATATGTAGAATAAAATGCATGAATTTTTCCTTTGTGTTTTTTATTGTTATTGAGGTATTTGCCATATATATTCAGGTGCTTGTCTCAGCATTTCATAGTTCTTTTAGGAACGATTTCATCAAGTACGTGTGTCACATCTGAAAAATATGACATTAAAGCCTTGTGAGCCAAACAAAAATTATTGAACGGAAAAAGCCCCTAACCTCTGTTTTATTTTAAAGCATTACGCCTAGGAAGTTTGACATTGTTCAAGCAGCTGAAGGACAGAAAACTGGAATTGTCTCTGCGGACACTGGAGATTTAACCTTAAACAAAAGAGAGAGAAGGACATCTTTCACTTTCAGGAAAGTGAGGAGAAGCCCCTGCACTTGCTGTAAGTTTCAGAGCTCATTCTTAATGCCTGTACATTCATAGGCATAGTGGCCACTCCAGGCTAGACCACAAGGTTCTGCCCCAGGCCTCTGCAAGGACAGCACCCACAGTGCCAGTCATGCAGTACCTTTAAAAAATCTTTTAAACAGAGATCAGATGGCAGCCCCTTGTGGCTCATGAGGTGCCATAGCAAAAGGGCTCCTACACATTTGCCCTCCCGCCCCTTGTGGTCAGCGGCAGAGGCCCTTCTCTGGGAACCCTCCATGAAGGATATTAGGAGGGTGAGTACCCAGAGGAGTTCCTTCTCTGCGGTGGCGCCCAATCTATGGAATGCACTCCCCACAGAGGTCCGCCTGGCGCTGTCGTTATTTGTTTTTCGGTGCCAGGCCAAGGCCTTTTTATTTAAATGCTATTTTAATTGTTAAGGTTTATTTGTTGATTTTAAACTGACCAGGCTGTTTCCACTATTTTATGTATTTTATTTATTCTATGATTTTTTAAAAAAATTATATGTGGGATTTTAATGATTGTAAGCCGCCCCGAAGCTTATGCGATGGGGGCGGCATATAATATGTCTAAATAAAATCAAATAAATAAATAAATATTTGGAGGGGATTGCAAGTAAAAGGAGGACTCTCACACATAGGTAGAATAATGCCTGTGATGTTTTAGATTCTAGCCATAGTACTGTCCTATAGGTGCTGGTATGCAGGTGAATCAAAGTACTGTAAAAGTATTCTCTCAATCCTAGCATCCTGATCTATTATACTATCCCCACTAAAATTGATGCTTATTTTTGAACTTGTCAAAAGCTCCAGTTTAAGGGGAAGATCACTTCCTAAGGAATAGGCAGTTTTGTTATTGGACCTGCTAAAGTTGCGATTTAAAATAAGAATTCAGGATTTGCCATTCAGTTTGCAGGTTTGATGGTTTTTGCCAGTAAATAAGACCAATCAAAAAGGACTGTTCTGATATAGAAAGGGAACTGTTATATTCCTTTAAAGAAATGCATCTTGGTTTTTTTCTCCCCCAGCTTATTCTTCTGTATGTGACAGTCAGAGTCAGGGTGCAGGACCTTCGTTCCTGGATGACGAGGGAGAAGCCGCAAAGCTAGAGGAAAAATATGTCCATGAAGTGTATGAAGAGATCGCCACGCACTTCAGCAGCACCAGGCATAGTCCATGGCCACGAGTCGTTGAATTCCTTGGGGCCTTACCTTGTGGGTCCATTGTGGCTGATGTTGGCTGTGGCAATGGAAAGTATTTAGGAGTCAGCAAGGACTTGTGTATGGTAAGGCATCCTGTTATTTGTTTTTCATTCTCCTTTGAAGAGGATGGTTTGCAGGTCAAGCACAGTATCCGTTTAGGGTTACTCCATCTTTTTCATTTTTCCTACATGGAAAACTTGCCCTTTCTTCCTTGCTCTTCCCGGCTTTCCACCAAAAAGACCTTCAGGGTAGCTTACAATTTTGTTCAGAAGGTTTAGATGGCCTCTACCCTTTTCACAGATTCATTTTCACTTTGTAACTGGTGCTAACTACAGTTTGCCATGACATCCAAATCAGCAAACCACAGTGACCTCTTGTGCTCCAAATTGGGCTTGGACTATATTCTAAGACTTAGATTATATTCTTGGAAAGCTTTCAAGTTGGGTTTGAAAGGCAAGTGCTATCCATACTTTGGAGCAGGGGAAGGAAGGGAAAGCAAACAAGACTATGGCTTTTTTCCAATCCTCCAAACTATGGTTTTGGAGAGTCATCCAAATTAAGCCAGTATTCAAACAATTATTATATTTCTTAGCACTGATGAAACTATTGCATTGGTCCAATATAACGACCAAAGTGGTTAAGCTGTAATAATTTGAAGCACATAAATAAAAGTACAGAACCAATAATTATTTTCCACAGACCATACATCCTAGTGGGAATAAATTCCTTTGGTAACCTGCTTGAAAGCAGAGGCCCTATACTTTGAGGGAAAGCATCCCAAGGAGATGGATGAAAAGGTCTGTGTCTTGAGCTTTGGAAAGACAACCACAGTGTTTGGAGCAGAACTGCATCTGGGGGATTGGAATATGCAGGGAAGTTTCAGTAATGGAAGGTACCTCTGTTAAAGGCTCTGTAGGACTTAAAATGTCATCACCATTGAATTGGAAGCTCAACTGGTAATTGATATAGATTGTTGTACCAGCAATTGCAACTTCCCAGTGCATCTGTGTTGTCATGCATATGATAGTCTAATATGACAATTTGCAAATTGATTTCACGCTTGCACTTTTGGGAAAATTGGAGAATAACAGGTGAAAAAGATCTACTGGAATGCCTGTTACTGCCTACCTGCTGGCCAGTCTCCCTGGGTGCGCATGTCTCTGCTGTCCACGGCACACAATCCCTGGTAGCTTCTTCAGTTTAGTCCTAAGGTGCTTCGACATGAGATGATTTCCAAACATCCTGCCCTATTCATAGAATAAGAGTCCAAATGCCATATTGTTTGTTTTGGTATCCCTTCCATACTTTGCCATCACTTTTGTCTCCACCCCTCCCCCCCATACACACAACAAACAAAAGTACTGCTAAGGAAAACAGGCTGGAATAGTTGCACAATGTGTTATTGTCACCATTAAAAGCTGTCCATCTTGAAGCATCCTGACTGTGAGTTCCAGCCAGGGATCTCCTGGTTGTACCATGAAAGAAGTCCACCTTGCTTCCTTTTTCTTTTGAATTCTTTCTTTTGAGCATGTCCTAAAATTGCTACCCAGAATAAATCCAACCATGATAAAACTAGCCAGTTGGCTGACTGTGCTTGAATTCAAGCTAGATTTATTTCCACCACATAATGATACCTGCCTGGAGAAAGCTAGATGTAATTATCTCCTGAAAAGTCAAGAAAATATGATTGTGCAGGTACATTTTTTTCAGAAAATGCTTGAAGATTAAAACCCTAGGAGTTATCCTTCATTCTACTTTCTATAGTTACTGTTGCAGTGCAAGGTTTGGGAAGGGTCCAGTAATCTTGAGACTAGAATGGGCAAAATGGGCAGCTGCTGGCTTCTAAGGGGGCATGGCCTGAAAGCCAGAATTACTTATTTGCCACACAGCTTAAGTCCCTCATAAATGTCAGGACTGTATAGTAAAGTCACTGCTTCCTAGCATATGTACTTGCATGTGAACAGGAAAATCCATATTCTATTCATAGAGGTGTAACATTCCAGTTCAGAAGCTCCCTCTCACTTTTTGAAAACAGTTCAAATGACCTCATATGTTGAGCCACATTACTTAAAATTAGGCAGACTTCTAGGGGCTGGGTGAAATTGCTTGGGTGCTGCTGGAGCTTCCGGGGGTAGGGGGGCGGTGACTCACAGAACTGTAGGTGGTAGCCTTCTTAGTGAAGAACCTTCCAGACTGACTTCACCCACCCAGGCTGTCCTGTTACAGCTGAGTGTTACCTATTACTTAATTATAGTGTTTCCTCTGGCTGAATGCAAATGCCTTGATCATAACACCAGAAATTATTACTGGTGTGAATCATCAAAGACAACTCCGGCTGAACTTCAGCAAAACCAATATTCATGGGGAAGACAGCCATCCGTCAAGGAAAAAAGCTGCAGACCACACAACCTGCCATGTGACCCTTAAGCCGGCTTGCTGTCATCAGGTGTGGGGAGAGCCCTTTTCCATTCCGGTACTGAAGTCAACTGCCAGTCCAGTTGGTTTGTATATATGAAACAGGAGGTGTGTCATCTTGCTTCTTGTCTCACGCATCAAAATATCGAAGGTGGTCCTTGATTCTCTCCCTTTCCCATCCAGTCAAGTGTCATGGCTCAGATGGAAGTCCCTTAGAATGCCCCACTCCATTCTATTTTAACTATCCCACAGATATACCTTTCCTGGCAGAATGGTTCTGTTGGCAGAATATCTGAGAAGTATTCTGCTAGCATATCTGAGCTGTTCAGCCAGTGTCTGTCGCAGCATTGACATAACTTTCATTGATGTAGCACAGCCTACCCAATCTGGTGGCCTCACAGGCATTTGGACCACAACTCCCAGAATTTGTGTCCAGCAGGACCATTGACTGGAAATTCTGGGTGTTGCAGTCCAAACATGTCTGGAAGGCACAAGGTTGGGGAAGGCTGGTGTAGGAAGTTGCCACCAAATTCAGTGGACCCTCAGCCAGAAGAACTTGAGTACCTTAAGTATAGTAAACTGCTACTTTGAAAGGTACTTGAAAGGACCATCTGAAGCTGGGGTCAGCACTGCCAGTGGGCACTGATGGACCTCCAGACTCTAGCTGAGACACCCATCTCCCCAGGGTTGTTGTTGTTATGGCTTTACTTTAATACAGATGTGTTCCTGGAATCTGGAAATGCTTCAAAGCAAAAGTAAACCCCATCTTTGTTTCCCATGAAGGTCTCTGGATCCACGTGGACCCAGAGGCATTCTGGGTAAAGAAGGTGGGCAGCTGAAAGCACTTTGCTCTGAAGCTCGCAAATGGCCTGAAAAAGGGTAAAAGAAAAAGGGATTCTTGGGTTTTCAGGGGTGATTCACAGGGGTGGCCTGAAGGTTAGGGAGCACTGGGCACTGGGTGGAAGAAGATGCGAGTAGGGTGGGGAAGACAGTGGGACTGTGTTTGGATTTGAGGGAAAACTGCCATGCCATGGGGAAGCATGGGAACAGCACAGGAGTGGGGTTGATAACGTGTTTTGTGTGTGCGTGTCTGTGTGTGTCTTTAGGGTGCCTTTGTCTGTGTATATTTTGTGATGATGTCCAAAATGAGCTCAGTTCCAGAGACCCCTGATCTAAAACACAAGCCATATAGGCAGTCCTAACATGGGGTTATGAAGAGGTGGGCATGACTTTGCGACTGAACAACAGAAGGATCTGTGGAAGGGATGAGGGAAGGTTTGCTTCATCTTTCTTCTTTTACTTCTCCCTTCTTACTGCAGCCTGTCATTAATTTTTTTCTAATTTCTCTCTCCAGCAAACCCTCATTCAAGAACTGGAGTCTGCAATGTACTTAACATCCCCAATGAACTAATAATTATTTTCATGCTACAACATTCAGGCATAAACACGTCTGCTTATAAATCAGTAGATTCCTTCTGGTTTAAAATAAATTGCTAGAAGCAGATACATTATAATTCCAGCCAGACTTTTTAATAACAACTTATACTTTATAAGTGAATAGAAAGAGGCAGAGATAAACGCATCTGCCAATTATAATGATAATAATAATAAACCTTTCACTTTGAAAGACTCCAGTTTTTTTACGATGTGGAGACCGAGCGAGATAGAGATAGAGGGAGAGAGGGAGAGAACAGTTGTTGGTTTTCTGCAGCAGAATACTGCAGCAAAGATAAAGAGTGATGGTTTTTCGACAGGTATAGACCGGCAGCCAGAACAGCTGGTTGGACAAATTACTGTACTGTTTAGAACTCTCACCATAGGCTAGAACTGTTCTGAAAGTTATGTAAAACAGGGTGGTGAACTAGTGCACACTTTCTTGTGATTATCCATTTATTCCTTATAAAGCACGGTACAGTTATTAAAAGACAGGGCAGTGCCTCCTAGCCGGCTCATCTCTAATAGACAAGATTCAAGAGGAAAAGGGAATGTAGAAGGAAGAGGAAAGAAAGCATTGGAATAGCTTCTTCTGCACTGGCTGATGTTTAGAGCCAGCCAGGTCTCTGACTTTCATCCTTTTCTTTAAAGGAAGCAGTGAAGCAGCTTCCTAAAGGCCCTAGTTCCCCTGTGACTCTCTTCATCTCTGTGGTCTACCGTACACAGTATATACCTCCCTGGAAAAAAAAACACCTCCCTGCATGTAGAGCACTAACATTTCAGGAAGAAAGTTGTAACATATTCCTCTTGTAGCAGGGACGATTTTGTTTGTTTGTATTTACAGGATCATTCAAAAGTGTTGTCTCTGACTTGCAATCCGAAGTGGTCCAGTACAGGAGTCTAATACCTATACCTTGGTGTACTAGAACTGCCATTTTTAATGCAGTGGTGCTTTATCAGCTGCACTGCTTCCCAGCATGTTTCTGGACTCCACTGAGACACCACTTTTTTACAGTTAAAGGCCCAGATGGTGTGCTGATGGAATAGCTGAAAGCCTCTATCAGCGCGACCTGTTTGCACATTGCGATCCTCAGGAGGGGCCTTTGGTGCTTCTCCTTGCCTTGTGAAGTGTGCATCTAGCTTTTCCTCCACCTTTTTCTTGACTATTAGGGGCCAACCCTACTGTGAGGCACTGGGGCAGCTGGTTTTGGGTCTCAGCAAAGAAGGTTCAACCAATACTTATTGTTAATCCCTTACTGTTGTAGGTTTATCACTTGACCAGTCAGGGGTACTATAATCCTGGACTATGGGATGTGGAGAGGTACATTTGCTGTCCCATGTTAGGCCATCCTTGTGGGCAGCTTGGTTCTTTTGCCATAATATGGTCAGATGCAAATGAATACCATTCTGTAGAGACACTTTGTGTGTTGTCTGATGGCCTTTGCATCATCCATGCGAGCTAGGCTGGCACAACATAATAACCCTAAAACTGGAGTGTGGTTTGGTTTGGTTTTTAAAAACTAGCCATTGTTGCTGCCTTGTGCTGTGGTTTCATCAAAATAATTTTATTTCTTTTGTTATATTCATGGATAACTTGCTATAGGCATATTAGATGATGTACGACATTGTGGGGAACCTTGTGGTTGTGTAATAGAAATGACTTAATACATATAAATCTAAATAATGCCTCTTCATGTGAAAAGGTAAACAAGCTACCTTATCGTGGAGAAGAGCACAGCCTCCTCACTACTGAGCATGTTTACTACTTGCGTGGATTTTTTGTTTGTGTTTTAAATGTGTGTGTGTGTGGGGGGGGGGGGCATTTTAACTGTGTGAATTCACCAGTGTAGAACAGACAGGTACATAACCACAGGAGTCTTTTGCTTCACTCTGCTGCACAGATGGACCCGCCTTGTAGAATAGCAGTTCCTTGAATTTGGTGCAAGACTGCTGCCGTAGGCTAAGCATCTGCCATGGAGAGGGGACAGATCCCTCTCCCTCTGTGGCATTGTAAGGCAACCTGGAAGGGGGATTGGTAGGGAAGGGGCCCTTTAAAGTGCCAGCTTGCTCTGGCTGGTGCTCTGGTGGTGCAGATGTTGGCACAGATGTTGGGAGGGCTCTTGTACACGCTTCTCAGTACACCTCAGTGAGGAGGTGGGATCCCTGCCTACTGTTCTTGCTGTTTTTTGTGCGTCCCTTTGCTCTACCTCTGAGGGGAAGAAGAGAAAGCACAAGAAGCCACTTGTTCTGTTTCAGCTAGCCGGCCCTCCGGTCTTAGTGAGGACCTGGTGATGTTGAACCCAGTGAGGTATTGCTCACACCAAGGCTTGAGTGAATTAGGTTCAGTGGATTTTGACAAAATGGAAGACGGATTTCCCAGAGATGGTAAGAAACAGAGCTTGTTGCTCCAACAAGGAGCAAATGGTGACCCAGCCTAAAAGAACGAGTTTGGCTTCCTGCAGACTGTTTTGGTGTGGTTTCCATCTGAACTTGAATTTTTGATCATGGATCATATGGAATGAATGACATAGCATTGATATTCTCAAGGGGCTTTCAAGGCAGCCCTGTGTAATGGAAACTAGTGATGGATTTCCTGAGCTGGCCAGAGGAATGACAGGACTTGCCCTTGGGAACCTCTGATACCTTCTCAATCAAAGTGTTGCTTTATTAGGAACTGAAAAGGTAGAATATCTTGGAAATGAAGGACTTGAAACAGAAGACAACAAAAAATAAAAAATGGGGACTCTACTGGGTATTCTCTATTTTTTGCCAGTGAGAGATGGACTTCTTCTAGACACAGAGCCTTTCCCCCTGAAAGGTGACGTGACTCTCTATGAGGGAAAACAAAACACTACGTGAAAGAAATGTTAAAGGTCTGACTCAGAACAAGTAAAGCAAGGGAATTTCTCTCTCACTGTGGCTGCATGCTGTCATCTTTCTTGCTGTGTTTGTATGCATTTGCCAGAATTAGATTTGCTTCCTTGAGACTCTGATGCTATTAGTTAGAGCTGAGAGGTTTCTCTGGGGAGCCACATAATTTCATTTAGTGGCTGGCTTTCAGAATTAGATGTAGTTCTCTCTCCATCAGCTTTCCGATAAGTTGCATCAATCAGGTTTCAATAGACTTAAATTATCTAATTCCACCAGGTGGAGTTAGTTATTGTGAGGTAAAGCTGAATAACCACAAATCTATTGGCCCTTTCTGTTCCCTGAACCTGGACAAATAATTAGTCTCTATTGCATTATAATAATAATTAACTTTTGCATCTTTCTGTCTACATTATTAACTTGGTAATAGAAATAAATGGGACCACTGTTGAAATACAGCCTCATGCTGGGGTAAAACCACAGTATTTTGATTTCTTTCCTTCACAGTCATGAAGAAATGCAGACCATTTGGTAAGTCGAAGGAAAGGAAAGTGGAGAAACAGGCTGTTTCTTCCTATTCTGTCTCACTCAGTTTTGTGTGGAAGACTATTACAGAAATTCGTATGCCCTGCCTGGTTTTTGGCCCAGGAAAAAGCACTATTGAACTACTTTTCATGGTCATTTTCAAGGACTGGAATATATATTGAATGGTTCCATTTTGTGAGCCAT